CTCCTCCTCCTCTACCTCCTCGTCCCTTCTCGTCCCTCCTCGTCCCTCCTCACCCTTCCTCGTCCTTCCTCCTCCTCCTGCTCCTCCTGTTCCTCCTCCATCCTCTCCTCCTCCTCCTCCTCCTCCTCCTCCTCCTCCTCCTCCTCCTCCTCCTCCCTCTCCTGCTCCTGCTCCTGCTCCTGCTCCTGCTCCTGCTCCTGCTCCTGCTCCTGCTCCTGCTCCTGCTCCTGCTCCTGCTCCTGCTCCTCCTCCTTCTCCTCCTCCTCCTCCCCTGCGGATGACCTGGTGGTCCAATGACCTGCGAAGCCCACAGTTTTCAGCGGTCCCTCTGTGACTTGAGCGCTTTGGCACCACAAGGACCCCCAACCCGAGACATTCTGGGGGAGCAGCAACGGGTCCGAGGACCGTCTCGTTCCCAAGACGAGTTTATGTGTTCTGGGCCCTTTGCTCCTCGGACAGCGTCGGTGCCTCCAAGTCCAAGGAAATTGAGGAGGGGGAAACGGAAAGCCCCAAAGAGGGAGGCGAAGAGGAGAGGAGGAAGAGAAGGAGGAGGAGGATAAGGAGGAGGAAGAGGAGTAGGAGGAGTAGGAGGAGTAGGAGGAGTAGGAGGAGGAGGAGGAGGAGGAGGAGGAGGAGGGAGGCCGCGTTCGACGAAACCTCAGGCCATTAGCAACGAGGAACGAGGAGGAGGAGGAGGAGGAGGAGGAGGAGGAGGAGGAGGAAGAGGCGGAGAGGAGGATGAGGCGGAGGAGTCTCTGGAGTCTCTGCCTGATCGCGTAGCGATGTGTATGATTAAAGGTCCGCAGCCCGCTGTTGGGAGTTCTTGTCTCTGGCAGCCTTCTCAGCTCGACTGAGGATTTTGGGCCAGAGACCGAGTGCGATTCTTCTGAGGTGTTCCTTCCGAGTGGGCGTTGCATCTTGACAAGGGCCCCCGAGTTTCCCGAGGAGCTGTTGTGCGATGGCGCCACAAAGGGGACAAAACCGAAGACCCAGCCCAGCGTGGAACCTTAAACGATGGGTATTAGTATTATTATTATTATTATGAGGAGGAGGAGGAGGAGGAGGAGGAGGAGGAGGAGGAGGAGGAGCAGGGAGGCCGCGTGCGACGAACCCTCAGGCCATTAGCAATGAGCGAGGAGGAGGTGGAGGAGGAGGAGGAGGAGGGGGAGGATTTTTTGAACAGGACCTCGTGCTGAATCTCTCTGCCACGGGCTTACGCCGATCACGGGGCAGGGGTGCCAGGCACCATCACTGCTGCTGGCACTCCACCTTCCGCGGGGGCCCGATGCCAGACGTCTTTGAAACTGCGCACGGCGGTGCCTTCAGGCCTGGATCGGAATTCCCAAGACTGCGACGAACAACCTCATTCTTACGGTTCTTCACAGGGTCTCCACGGCGATCCCTATAACCGCTAGAACCGGCACTCCGATCTTCACCATCAAGATCGTTGCATTCCTTGCGACATGCACCAGGGGCGATAGTGAAGGGAACTCCTCGCACACCTCCTCCTCGACCAAACGCCGACACAAGGGGCGAGAGCACGCCACCCTTGTCTCCCAGGCCGCGCTCCGGAAAGACGCCCTCGCCAGTGTCTGGAACTTCCTGTGCGATGACCTGCGCACCGTCTGTAGCAGCAATACCCTCCTCAGAGCCGTCCACAGGTGGGGGGGGAGGGACCCCGCCTGTGGGAAGGTCAGAAGCCACGAACCCACTCCCCGCGGAGAGCGTGTCGGCTTCCGCGTTCTCCTTCACGACGCTGCCGTTGCTGCCATCCCCGTTTTCCTCGGAAAGGTGATTTACGGCAAACGCCCCGCCATCGAGCACGATGGGCTCCCAGGAGCTGAAAACCACCGTGCCGCAGTGGCAGCGCAAACCCGTTACGGCCAACGCCTGGTCACGAAGAGGCTCCCAATGCTCCGCCCCAGGAAAGAAAACGGGTGCCTCTGCACGAAGAGCAGCGCCTCCTCCAGCAGCGCCGACAGCAGCGCACGCCGAGCCCGAACGCCCCGCCCGCTGGAGCTGGTTGAGCTCCCTCTGCGAAGCGCCGCCGATGATCTCGGCGGAGATGTCGAAGTTGTGCGCAGCCAAATTGCGCCTGGCACGCGCACTGCCCGCGGCACGAACGCCCGCGATGCCGGCGGCTAGCACCGGCATGATGAGCCTCAGCCTGCGCTTCAGCTCACCTCCCCCGAAACCTGGAGCCACCACGTCAAGGTCCAGCTCGAGGGCCGGAATTAGGCCTTGGGCATCCGCGAGCCTGGAGGAGAGCTTGGCGACGGCCGCGTCCGCCGCCTCACGAGCGCGCCAGCACGCCGCAGAACGCTCCGCTCGAGACCGACCCCGAGCCCCATGGAGGAGCCCGTCCCGCGCCATTCCTCAAGCAGCAAGCGGCGGCACCCAGCAGCTCATGACCGACTGGCTTGAGCAACAGGGCTGTGCTCGCTGTTGAGCAGCTTCAGCCAAAATGGCTATGGAGGGGGAGGAAGGGGAGGAGGAGCTGGAGGAGGAGGAGGAGGAGGAGAAGGATGAGGAGGAAGAGGAGCTCACCTTCGCTACCGATCCGAGGCTTGTTTGGAAGCGCTACGACAGACGAGCCAAGCCATGGAGGACGAAGATGTGCACAAGCTCATGGCCCTAGATCGCTCCCACATTGCTGAACTTAAGCGACAAGGCTACCATGCTACAAAAGCGTTGATTCCTGCAAGAAGGGATGGACGACGACGACGCGATAGAATGGTTAAACCAAAGTTATTACCACCAAGTGTGCCCCAGGAGATGATCGACGGACCCTCAGACGGAGAAGAAGATGATACAGCCCAACGTGAACACAGGCAACCAGATGATCAACAATGGCAGCCGACACCAGCGCCTGTGCATACGCCAACAGTGAAATATATTTTACACTTGTTTTCAGGGCGACGTCGACGAGGGGATCTACAACACTGGATCGAGGGTATGACAGATTTCCCGTGTGTTGTGTTATCAGTAGACGTTGTCAATTCCAATAGCCGTGCAGATTTAACACAGATGGAACAAATACTGGCATTTTCTACCATGATTCGAGAAGGATATATCCTTGGAGTGGTGGCGGCGCCGCCGTGTGAAACATGGTCTGGCGCGCGACATGCAGCATGGGATGGAGACTACCAGGGGCCGCCACCGCTCAGATCGGCCACACACCCATGGGGCATGCCACACATCGACATGCGGTACCGTCTGCAAGTACAACTCGGCAACCTGTTGATGAGAGCTGCCCTGCTATTGGCCGCAGTTTGCATTGTGACCGTCACCCCGATGTTGATGGAGCACCCAGCACGTAATTGGCGCCCAGGTACGGCAACATGCTGGGCACTGGCTCAAGTACGAAGGATGCTAGCATTCCAGGATGTGGAGCTCATCACTTTCGACCAGTGCTGCTTTGGAGCTGCGTCAAAAAAGCCGACGACAGTGCTCAGCATTGCATGCCCAAGTTTTGGCAGAATCATGAGAGCTCGGGATGACAGAGGACGTTGCCCACATATGAATGGACATTTGGCTTCTATTGGTAGAGATACACAGGGCAGGTACCTCACGGCCAAGTTGAAAGAATATCCCGAGCAACTATCACTTCATATGGCGATGAGTGTCCAGGATGCATGGAAAAACCGCACATACTACGACGGCGCAGACTGGGACGACACGTGCCCAGACCTCATGCAGCTATACGTTCCTCTCGACGAGTATGGCGCGGCAGTGGACGACTACAACCATGACTGCTGGCGAGGGCACCGTGCGTGACTCCAGTGAGTGGTTGGTCTTTTATGCCGATGGCGGCAAGTGATGCATGTGGAGCTGAGGGTCCAGCTCAAACTGGACTACAAGGCGGCCAGCAGCACCGGCGACCACCAGCACCACGACTGGGGGGACGCGGAGGACTGCTACTTCTGGGTCGAGAAGGCCCCCCCTACAGGGTGAGCGTGCCGCCCGCCGGAGAAGGCGGTGGCTGGCGGCCCTGAGGGGGGGATGAGCTGGGCCCGACGGCCCGCCCCCCACTCCTCTCCTCGTATGTAAGGTGTCGATGGGGTGGTGGAGGTGGGTCTCTCTCCCTCCTCTCGCGCGGCGGCCGCGGCCGCGGGCGCGGGAGCGCGGACCCGACGCGCGTGGCGCAGCGGTTGCGGCAGGCAGGAGGAAGAGGAGGGGGAGTGTAGGCGGCTCTTTCCATCTGCGCTGCCGTGCCTCTCGCTGTTGGGCCCCTCCTTACTCTTCGCCTCCCCCCCCTCCGCCCACGCGCGCCTGGCCACCGAGGGCGCGCAGCGGGTGATGTGGCGGTCGACTTGGAAATGGCAGCGATACCACGAGCCATGATACAGTCGGACCTCGGATAGAAGAGCATCATTCGAGCACATGAGGCCCTCCGCCGGCCAAAACACACAGAACATCCAAGTGTGCCCTCCCTAGGATGCACAAGAGCATCCAGCAGACACGAAGAACATTAGAACCTCGGTCCGACTGTGGTCCTCCCCGCCCGCCTCCCTCTTCTCTCGCAGGGCTGCCGCGCAGCCCTCCTCGCGCCGCCCCGGCAGGCCGCGGTGCCCCCGCTCGCGAGGCGTCTGGCCCCCCCGGAGGGCTTGCTCCGGCCCGCCCGCCAGGAGCCCAAGCTCGGCCTCGCGGTGGCTGCAGGAGCTACCGGCGCGGGGCTCGCGCAGCGCAAAAGCCCCTCGGACTGCCTCGACGTCTCCCGGGCAGCCGGATCTGCGGCGGTGGCCGTCTCCCGGGTCTCCCTCCTCGCCCCGGCCTCGGCCTCCTTTCCGGCCAGCCTCCTCGCCCCATTCTCGGTCTGCTTCAACCTGTCTCTCCGTCTTGGCTGCAGCCTGCTTGCCAGCAGGCTCATCGACAGACCAATTCGACTCGGCACCATCCGATAATCTTTCCTTGGCGTAGACATCCATCAATTATTTGTTCATTGTTACGTGCTTGGTCTTCTCGGCAACCTTCGAATGCGCTCTGACATCGTCCTCCATATGTACCTTCGTCGCGGCATTCGTCCTGCTCGCTCCACCCTCGGTTAGTTGTTATCTTTGTCCTCAGCTTTTATTTTTGCCATCATGTCGCCTCCTGCTTCACCTTCTCCTCGGCTTTTCCTGGTCGCACCGGCGGCATCCCCCGGCGGGTAGGGGGGCATAACGGCACCTCGCGTTTTTGAGTGTTTCAAGCTCCTCTCTCTCTCTCTCTCTTTCTCTCCCCCTCTCTCTCTCTCTCTCTTTTTGTTTTCTCTCTCTCTCTCTCTATCTTCCCCTCTGGGGAGGACGCTCATATTGATTCTCTTTTGTGCGAGGGGGTACAAGTTGATTCCCTTTGTGGGGATTGCAAATTGATTTCCTCTGCGGGGGGCTACACGTTGATTCCCTGTGGCGGAATTGCAAATAGATTGCCCTTGTGGGGGGTTACACATAGATTCCTTTTGTTGTGTGGGGGGTCAAATGTATTCCCTTTGTGCGTGGGACGGGAGGGTCTGGCCGCCCTGGGGGAGGCTCCAGGAGAAAAAAAAACGGACTCCCTGAATCCACTGGCCCGTTTTGGTCTTCTGGGCCCCCCAAAAGCACCTGGGCCAGTGGATCTCTGTGATCTTTCCCCCATGGCCAGACCCCCCCTCCTCCACCACAAAAAGAATCAATGTGCACCTGCTCACACAGAGGGAATATATGTGTAACCCCACACAAAGGGAATCGATGTGCAATCCCGCCACAAAGGAAATCAATGTGTAGCCCCCCACACAATAAATCCATTTACAATCCCCACAAATTGACCCTGCTGTACCCCCTCACACAAAAAAAGAATGTATTCGCACCCCCCCTCCCCCCACACCCCGCACAAAAATCATCGACTTGCAACTCCGCCACAAAAAAAGAATATGTTTGTAGCCCCCACTAAGGGGAATCACTGTGTACCCCCGCGGCGGAAACCAAATTTCATTCCCTCGCACAAACGGAATCTATGTATGACCCCCGCACACAAAGTGACCCCAGAGAGGGATGCCCCCAATCATCTCAAGATCCTCCCCTTCCCCTCAGGAAGGAGGAGGAGCAGGAGGAAGAGGCGGAGGAGGAGGAGGAGCTTCCCTTCCCATCCCCCCAGGAAGGAGGATGCGGAGGAGGAGGCTCATGCGGAGGAGGGGGAGGAGGAGGACGAGGAGGATGATGCGGATCCCTTTCTCTCAGGACGGAGGAAGAGGTCCCCGTCCCTGCGCTCTCCCTCAGGGAAAGGAAGGAAGGGGGTCCTTCACTCCCCTTGCCTTCAGAGCGCAGGAGGAGGAGGTTCCTCCCCGTCCCTTTCCTTCAAAAGGAGGAGGAAAAGGTGGAGGTTGGAAAAGAGGTTCCTTCCCTTCCCTTTGCCTCAGGGAAGAAGAAGCAGACGAATAATAAGAAGAAGAAAACTAAGAAACATAGTAAGAAGAAGAAGAATAAGAAGAAACATAATAAGAATAATAATAATAAGAAGAAGAATAATAACAAGAAGAAGAATAATAATAAGAAGAAGAAGAAGAAGGGGGCGTCCACTGCCTGCCCCCTTTTCCATCAGAGGGAAGAGAAAAAGGAGGAGGGACAGGGCCATTCCCCGCCTTTCCCTCTGGAAGGAAGATGATGATGGGGCCCCTTCCCTCCACTTTCCCTCGGGAGGAGGACGGAGGGAACAAATAAGAGAATCCTCCCCTTCCTCTCCCGCAGGAAGATAGAGGAGGTTCCCTCCTCTTCTCTGTCCCCCAGGAAGGAGGAGGATGAGTGGGCTCATTCGCTTCCCTTTCCTTCAGAGGGAGGAGGAGAAGGAGGAGGCTCATTCCTTTCATCTTCCCTCGGGAAGGAGGAGCGGGAAATTCCTTGCCTTCCCTCCCCTCAGCGAGGAGAAGGAAGAGGAGGAGGTTCTCTCCCTTCCCTTGTCTTCAGGGCGGAGAAGGAAGAGGTTCCCTCCTTGCGCTTTCTCTCATGCAGGAGAACGAGGAAGAGGTTAATTCCCTGCCCTGTCCTACAGGAAACAGGAGGAGGATGAGGTACCTTCCCTCCCCTTTCCCCCTGAGAAAGGGGCGGAGGATGCTCCTTCCTGCCCTGCCCTTCAGGACAGAAGAGGAGGATATTCCTTTCCTTCCCTTCCCTTCCCTTCCCCCGGAAGGAAGATGAGGGGGAGGAAGTTCCTTTCCTTCGCTCTCCCTCAGGGAAGACGAGGAGGAGGTTCCTGGACTGCCAACTTCCATCAGACGCAGGGGAAGAGGAGGAGGAGGAGGAGGAGGAGGAGGAGGAGGAGGAGGAGGAGGAGGAGGAGGAGACGTGTCATTCCCTCTCTTTCCTCCAGGAAGGAGGTTGAGGATGTCCACTTCCCTTCCCTGCCCCCCAGGAAGGAGGAGGAGAACGAGGAGGCTCCTCCTTCTCCGTCCTGAAGATAATTACGTAAGGGAAGGAAGGGAACCTCCTCCTCCTCCTCCTCCTCCTCCTTCTCCTTCCTGGGGGAAGGGAAGGCAAGGAATTACCCCTCCTCCTTCCTGAGGGAAAATGGAAGGAATGAACCTCCTTCTTCTCCTCCTCCCTCTGAAGGAAAGGGAAGCGAATGAGCCCCCTCTCCTCCTCCTTCCTGGGGGACAGGGATGGGGAGGGAACCTCCTCCTCTATCTTCCCGAGGGAAAGGAGGGGAAGGATGATCCTCCTTTCTCTCATCATCTTCCTCCTTAAGGAAAGGGGGGGAGAGAAAGAGGAGGCTCATTCCCTTCCGTGCCCCTCATCAAGGAAGAGGAGGAATGTCCTTCCTTCCTTTTCCTTCAGGAAAGAGGAAAAAGGAACAAGTTCCCCCCCCCCCCTGCGCATCAGGACGGAGAAAGAGGAGGTTCTTTCCTCATCAGCCAGGACCGTGCACTCCACGCGGAGGAGGAGGAGGAGGAGGAGGAGGAGGAGGAGGAGGAGGAGGAGGAGGAGGAGGAGGAGGAGGGGAGGAATGCTGGGTGAAAGAAGAGGAGAGGAGGAGGAGGAGGAGGAAGGAGGAGGAGGAGGAGGATGAGGAGGAGGAGGAGGAGGAGGAGGAGGAGGAGGAGGAGGAGGAGAGAGGAGGAGGAGGAGGAGGAGGGAGGAGGAGGAGGAGGAGGAGGAGGAGGAGCGCAGCGTAGAGGGGAGATCCATCAGGAGGAGGAGGAGGAGGAGGAGGAGGATGTCCTGCAGACGCCCACGAGGCGCGCTGGGCGCTGGAGAGGAGGAGGGGGCGGACGAGGTGCCGCCGACGCCCACGAGCCTGCCTGCTCGCCCAGGGGCTGGGCCCTCGGCCTCGGGGAGAGGTCCCGATAACAACAAAAACGTCCCCCCCCCCTGCTGCACGGGCCTTTTTTTTCTCGGGGCATCCCGAAAAATGTACCAGTGGATTATGGGGGGGGGGGCGTTTTTTTTGCTGGGACCTCCCCCCCAGGGCCAGACCCTCCCCACCTCCCACAGAAAAGTGAATCAATGTGAGCGTCCTCCGCAGAGGGGAAGAGATAGAGAGACGGAGAAAAAGAGAGATAGACAGATATAGAGAGAGCGAGGGAGAGAGAGAGAAGGAGAGAGAACAAAACAAAAGAAAAAGAAACTTGAAACACTCAAACACGCAAGGTGCCGATACCCGTTTGATTTCTAGCTAGCTGTTCTGCATCCTAGTTTGCCCATTCCTTTGACAAAAACTGCGACAAGTTCAAAGACGGAATGCAACAGTTTAAACATTGCAAGAGCTTAACACTTGGAACAAATGCAACGGTGGAGGGAGGGGCATTTTCAAAATCTGGCTCTCGACTTCGCGCCGCGACCATTCGTCCTAAAAGTCTGTTGCAGCTTAGAGGGTTCTCTAAGGGTTGAAACCGCAGGCATGGCTTTCGGCCACGACTGAAGACTGCCAGGGTGCAGCAGTCGCGTTGATTCGCCGCGGTGATGTCCCAGGAACCCAGAAATGGTTTGGCAAGATCCAAGAAGATCAGGACGCAGCAATCACCTTCATTCGTGGCGTTGAAATCCAAGGAATTGCGTCTTGGCGCGATTGAAGGTTCTCAGGCAGTTGTCTTTCAATGGGGCCTTCCCGCAGTAAAAACAAACCCTTGCAGGGACCTGTGAAGAGAGAATTTGGAGGTCGGATGAATTGCAACATCGTTGGTGCGTCTTGGGCTTACAGTGGCATGAGCGCTTGGCAACTACTCTTTACATACATACAAAAAACACCAAAAGTGCAAATCACGTGGAAATCCCGAACTAACCAAATAAAACACGGCTTCCCAAACCCATCAAGAACATAAATGCCATTTTGGGGCTCAGTCCAGCAGGAATGCTGGCGCTGGCCTTCAAGCGGCCGCAGAACCTACCCAAAACGCGTCCTAAAGAAGGGGGTCGATTAGTGGACAAATGCCCATCCCAAGGCTTACACCAATCCTCCTCCTATTCCTCCTCCTCATCCTCCTTTTTCCCCCCCTGGGGCACTTCCCGCAGTCGTAACGAGACTTGGAAGTCGGGTGTGTTGCAACATCGCTGGCGCGTCTTGGGTTTACACCGCTCCTCCTCCTCCTCCTCCTCCTCCTCCTCCTCCTCCTCCTCCTCCTCCTCCTCCTCCTCCTCCTCCTCCTCCTCCTCTGCGCGGCCCCAGAGGTGCCGAGTCCAGACGGACCCCGGAGCGCTGGGCGAGCGCGGACGCGCGCCGCCGGCCCGCCCGCGCGCCCGCCGCCACCGCCCGGCATCCCCGCGGCCCAGCTGCGGTCGCCCCGCGGCGCAGCAGCGGCCCGGCGCAGCACAGCCGCCGCCGCGGCCGCCGCGCGCGCCCTCCCGCCGCCGCAACTTCCGGCCGCCCAGCGGCGCATCGCCGCCGCCAGCCATGCTCTCCAAGGAGCCCTCTGCCTCACGTCGACTTGGCAGGTGTCTCGGGCAACCCTGGGCCTCCTCCGTTTCGTGTTGGGCGGACTTCAAGTGCCGTGCTTGTAACGCTCGGTGATAATAAGACGCAGCGAAAAAAGGGCCGAATCAGGCTAAGTGCGCAAATAATTAAGCATGGTGCGTGCAGTTGGGCAACAAGATAAGCGCTTGAGACAAGTAAGGGAAGTAGTCCTGAAAGGGCACAGAGTGTACGCTCGCCATGCGGCACGAGGAAGTGAGGAGGCCGAAGAACGAAGATCGAGCGAGGCCGCCTCCTCCTCCCCCTCCTTTCCTCCTCCTCCTCCTCCTCCTCCTCCTCCTCCTCCTCCAGCCGAGCACCTCCGCCCCGGCGGGCGCGGCCGCGCTGGACGCCCTGGCGCCGCTCCAGGGATAGAGGTCGTAGCGCAGCTCGCAGGTGGTGACCATGCCTGGGGGATCGGCGGTCCAGGTCCCGAGGAGCTAGCGCTGGGAGGAGGAGGAAGAGGAGGATGATGATGATGAGGAGGAGGAGGAGGAGGAGGAGGAGGAGGAGGAGGAGGAGGAGGAGGAGGAGGAGGAGGAGGGAGGAGGACGAAAATAATGGACTGCCCTCCCAGGGAGCTGGAGAGGGGAGGGGGAGGCGTAAGAAAGGGGGAGGGAGGGAGGGAGCGAGGAGGAGGAGCGCACAGGCCGGCGGAAACTGCGACCTGATGACATGGAGGGGAAATACGGTATACGGAAGGGTGAAGAGCGACCATTCGCTTGAAGATTAACCCTGGGACTCAGGGAAGGAGGAGGATTTTTTTTTTGCCGCTGCGCTACTCTGCCGCGAGTGGTCGCGGTCCTCCTGGCGGCCAGCCAGGCAGCCGACGAGCACGGCACTTAAGACGCTGCCAGCGCAGGATTGTTCCATGCACGCTGGCCGACCCGCAATAGCAGGCCACGCGACAGGGCCTTGCCCCCGTGGCGACTGCCAGGAGGCCCACCCGTCGGGCGTCAATCAAATAACCGCACCACACTGAGAGCATCCACGTCGAGCCAAATAAAGTCGCTCTTCGGGTGCTTGCCAGACAGGAGACGGTTCCAATATGAGGCCGCCGAGCGGGGGCAGTGCGGCTTACCATTACAAACTTTGTTGAGATAGCGCACGTAGCCCCCAGTCGAAAAAGCCTTACACTTCAGGCAGAAACACAAAGCGCTACCGTCAGAGCAAGACAGGGCAATGCACTTGTGGCCAAGCTCTATGAGCTTGGTGTCATAGAGCTTGTGGGTGTGACGGCAGACACTGTTGGGAGGCCAACAGGACCTGGACACCCTCAAACATTGCTTGCACTGCCAGTAGCCGTCCCTATGCACCCAAGAGTGGCTAATCTTGGGAGCGGACACGGCGGGCTCCCGCTGCTCACGCGTGGCCTGCGACAGATCACACGCGGGCCAGAGCGGTAGCATCCTGGCAGCCAGCACACACACTTTCTTAGCAATCGAAAGGGCTCGATCGAGCCATTCAGACTGCTCGGGGCTCGGCCTCTCGTGAGCCAACGCCCCGAGCTTGGCGTAGTGATCAGCTAGGTCGTTCCCAGCCTTACAAAACCGCAAATGATCATCCCCTTGGGCCTGTTCTTCGGTCATGTGACCTTTGACCTTGAAAATCTGGCCCATTTCAGAATCAGCCGTCCAAACAAACATTCCAGCGTGCACCCGTTTGAAAGACAACTGTTCTGAGCGGGGGAGGGACCACACCTGTACAACATTCTGACAATCACTATAACCACATGACGGTTCCAGGGCATTCTGGCAGGCCGCCGTACAAGCAGCGAGCTCACCAGCCTGAGCCGTTTGCGGGATGGGGAGGGGGAGGGGAGCGTACACATGACCCAACTCTTGCCCAGAATCGGAGACCGAGACATACGACCACCCCGTCCGCGACAACTCCCGAATGACCGACTTGATGCACGAACCGTCCATAAAAATATGACCTTTCACAAAATAATCATCACGACCAGGGTCACTGGCATGATAAACAGTAGGTTCAGCAACAGTAGGGGCTGGAAAGAAATCACCAGGATGAGACATAATCCCCATGGTAAACAGAACCTGATCGTGCTTCGATAGGGATGACCATGCTGGTGGATGGTATTGAAAGTCATCCCCTAAAAGCTCGCGGCGCAGCTCGGCACAGGACTCGTGCACGCACTTCCACAACCTGTGGAAAATCGTGTCCTGCTCCTTGCCGCACAGGGGGCAGAGCAAGTCGGGCACAATGTAGCCGTGCTCTGACGCTCTAACCTTGGTCCACGGAGCCTGACAGACGAGCCCGCGGATACAGCCTTTCTCCCAAGGCGTGAACTTAGACGAAGCCATAGCACGGAGCGGCACGTCTAAGCAAGCACGTCGCTCAAGACCAAGGCTGTCTCCGTAGGCGCGCTCATGAAATCTGAAAACGGCGAGACGCAGCAGACGTTTGAGGAGGGCAGGAGAGACAAGCGTCAACTGAACTTCCACCCCCAAATCGTCAACCAAGGTAGAGAAAGAGGGCATCTTCCACCCAAGACGCTCCACGGACAACCTGAGGGCCCCAACGGGACCTCCAACCTGCCTCCAGGAGGGGGAAGGGCCCGCAAACACAGTACTCCAAGCCCCCCTGAGCTCGGCCAAGCTGAGGCCAAACTCGAAGGAGGCCGTCAGGCTGGCCCAGATTTCTTTGGACCAGCGCACGATCGGGGCCACAGCACAATACCAAGTGGGGTCGGCGGCGAACAGCAAAGCTGCAGTGAGAGATCGGCCTCCAGCCGAAGGGCTGAGAAACCGTCCAAGGGATCGCCGCAAACTCGCCAACTCATGGTCGGAAGTGCCATGCACCTCACAACCATAAGTTCTGCTGGCCAAGGGGCCACTCGTATATGTACGCTTGGCGTGTCTCCCCAAAGCATTCCTGTGAACCCTCAACCTATGACATTTAGTTTTGAAGGCCTTCTTACGAATCTGAATCTTAGCTCCTCTCCTGGCCGTCCGCCGAGGCTTGCCAGCAGCGTCGTCAATGCCCAGGTTGACAGCAGATGCGCAAGGAGCTCCGCCCACAGCGCCAAGGCCTCGGCGGATCTCCTTAGCCGCTAGAGGGACTGAGGCGACCACAGCCGCCTTGCTAACAGAAATAGAGCAACCAAGATCGGACTCGATGGCCACCTGCAATCGGAAAGCAGCTTCGATCAGGTCCTGTACGACGGCCTTGGGAGCCCCCGTGCACGACAAGGTGTAGTCATCGATGTAAACTCTCAACGAGACCGATCTAGGGATGCTAAGGCCGTCTAAGGCAGCTAGCGTGAAGACGCGAATGAAAGTGGTGGCGAATCCACACCCAGCAATCAAACCTCGCCACGCAAACTGCGGGCCCTCCACGCGGCCGTTCATGGCCATGTAGCGGCACGAGCGGCAAGCCTCGTAGCGGACCCTGGCAATCTGCATGGGAAAGGAATGCTGGCGACAACGAGCGAGGAGCGAGTCGAGGTCGACAGCCTCGTAGAACTTCAGAAGATCCCACAGGACAGACCCAGAACAGTCCTTGGAAGCCACAGCAACCTCGCTCCTCACTCCTTGCCTCCAGACGGTATCGACACTGGAGGCAAAAGCGCCAGCACAAAAGTATTCTCGGGCATTGGCCACTTCCCACTGCCGAGCAAGGTCTCGCCTGGCGCGGGCCCACAAACGATACAGAGCAACGAACAGTCCGATTGGGCGGTGCCCGCCACCGGGCTTCGCGAGCATAATGAGCAGCACAACTCTCATCTGACCAGGCAACAGACCCGAACGTTCCCAAATCGCAATCATGATCGACAGCACTTGCAGAGCAGGGTCCGACAGATGCTGAAACGACCGAACATGAAAGCCATCCACAGAAGAGGCGGTACGAGCAGGAAACGAACGGGCCGTCCGACGAAGATCCTCGACCGAAAGCACGGGCAGAGGCTCGAGAGGCACGAATCTGGAGCCAGAAGGTCGCGGCTCGGGAACAGGTTGGGCATGCCAGATCCGCGCAAATTTCTCGAGCTCGGAAGATAAAAGGGCCCCAGGGTCCGAAACCACCTCGCCTTTAGCCGACAGGGTCGTAGAGGGGGTCCACCCAGCAGCTCCCCGAATCACCCCGTGGGCATGACGGGCGCCGTTTTCAATATTGTGACGAATCCATTCCAACCAGTACAACTGATCATCGTGACGAGACTTGCTCTCAGCCGCCGCCAGGGCATGGGAGACCAAATCAAGCACGCGTTGGGGTTCCCCCTCAGTGACAGGTTGGCACGGGGGGCTATAGGTCACAATATCTTGCACAGCCTGGAGGAGAGTCAATGGCTCACCATCCCAGGTGCCCAGTCTCGACGGAGGGTGGAACAGCTCGCCCGCAGTGTCCCGCAGGTGTTGCTGCCGACGCTCCTCCGAGCTGGTCGCTCTGGCCACCTTGCGTGAGCTATCAATAGCCCTCGCAGAGCAAGACCGTTTTTCATCACCGCAATAGGCAAAAGGTGGGGAGGAGAGAGGCGCCACCTGACAATCAAGGTCTTGACAACCGAGACCGTGCAGCTGAAGCCAAAGGCGGTATCGCGAGCAAAGCCACCTCAAACTGGTAGCCTCGCGCGAGGTCCGCGAGATGCCATCCATCGAGCGATGCGACGCGTCGACAACGTTGACCCATCGCAGCTGCGCCTGGCGGCCTCTCGTGCCATGAAATGACAGTTGGGTCTGAAACACACCCTCGAGCTCCTTCTCAGCGGCCGTACCCCACTCCCGATGCAACACATCAAGGTTGAACTGGGTTCTACCAGTGTCGCCATTATCGGCCGACTCAAAGGCTCTGGAGGCCATGCGAGACACTAAGTCCCAATCCTTGGACGGTTGGGGAAGGGGACCAGGGGGCCGTTCTTTGGGGAAAGGAGGTGGGCTACGAAAAGTGAGGGCCCGAAGAGACGCAAGCTGAGGGTGAAGCTTAACCGAAACGGGGTCGTGGGTAGCCAACTCCGAGTCCGCGATAATCTTCACGCTCGCAATAGCTTGGGCGACCCTAGCCTCAACCAAAACATAGTCGTACATCTTCAAACCCCCAGTCGACCTACAGGTGCCAAGGACACCCGAGGGAACGCAACATTCAGCACCGAGGCGGTCGGGGATCCGCGAGGTGCACAAGGTCGCTGGTTCCATGTTGAAATCCCCACCGATCACGAAAGGCACCGAGAGGCTCTTGGCTCTCGAGGCAGCGCACGCCAGGATCTCTCGATTGAGATCGTTCAAGCCAGCGCAATCCTGCAGGTAGACACTCATAACATAGAAACTAGCCTGGCCAGGGGGATGGACTAACACCCCAGCGGCTCGATGATCTTTCACCCGAGGCCCAAAATCGGGGTAGTGAAGACCCAGGAAGGACCGAGCCAGGACCCCGACTCCCGAGGACGGACCCCCTCCA